AAAAAAACCTCTCCAAAAAAAAAAAAAAAGAGAGAAATCTTTCATCTTAGCTTGGCCACTTTTTTTTTTTTTGGTTAAATTTTTGTCAGAGGGCGCGCACACTCATAGAGGGGTGGGAAGGTGGAGGAGGAGGGAGATGAGAAAGCGCCCTCCACTGGGAATGATCACACAGCAACCTTTCTCCTCCATTTCCCTCCTTTTGGGATTTTGGGTGTGTCAGTGTGCATGTGGGTGTGCGTGTACACACACACACACAGTGTGTCTTCTAGGCCACCAGGTCCTGGACTTGAACTATGCAGTCACCCATGGAGGATCTAGCCACCCTAACCAACATTCCACAGGCTGACCTAGCCACCTTTTACGCAAGGTCACATACAGTCCTTTTTGGCAGCTCTGGGAGAAGGTTATTATCTGCATCTGGCTATACACATTAGAAAGGAAAGCAAAGCTTCCAGATCAGCACCTCTTGAATCAATCTTTAATTAGAAATACAAACAAAAAAAGTCAGCTACACACAAATTGTAGAAAAGTTTTCATGTGTTGTCAACAATAATGCAGTGTCTATTTATAAGGTATCCTCAAAGACATCCTTAAAAACGATGAGTGATGGACCTGAATGCTGTTTAGAACAAAGTACCATTATGCCTAAAGACAGCAAAAGTGTGTGGAGGTAAGTATGAATGTGTTTTCTCAAGCTGCTCCGAGTGATTTAGGCCTTTGATTTGCCTGTCCCCTCCCCTCCAGAAGGGCACATTGGAAATTTTAGTTCTGATTACAAATCTATATACTCCTAAAGCGAGAATGACTTACCTACTCAAATTTTACAATTACTGATGAATGCCTTTGGTCTTCCCCCTTTCCAGCTAACCTACCAGCTGAGGAAAATTTCAATGACTGGCTGCTTGACTAAGTAAACAATAAAAGAACAGAAAGTGAAACCCAAGAAAAGATAAAATGTAAATAGTTAGTATTATCAATCATTGGTCTCACAAGAGCATATAGTCTTGGTAGGAGCACAGGAAGGAGTAACTATATGAAGAGATTTGTTCCCTGTTTCCCACCACTGAGGAGGATATCATAAAACTCCAGCAGAGGGACCAGAAGATGGCGTAATGGTTACATCACTGAACTCCCATGTAGTCGACCGCAGTTCGAGCCCCAGACCCGGTGGCTTAAAATTCACGCCAGGCACGTGTGCATGTGTGCCCAAAATCTTGAGAGGAAACTGAAGGAGAAGAGACTGTGGTGTGGCCATCACCCCTGGGGAGTGATTTCTCACTTTCTATCTCTCTGTCTTTCTCTGTCTCTCTGGCAAGTGCATGTCCCGTATAGCAAAAAAATCTCTTAAAAACAAAAAAAAAACACTCCAGTAGAAACCTTCAATGTTAAATTGCAATAAAAATTTCCTAACAATACAAGGTCTTATTATTCACGGGGCTGAGTTTCAGAGTAAACTCTCCTCTTATGAGTTGATCTGACTAGGAGAGACACCATCAGTGTAGCTGGTTTATGGTCACCCTTATCTAGAAGCACAGAGAAAGGCCTTGCTAGCTCAGGTTTTTAGTACTAAGTGGCCTTTCCTCGGCAATAAGAACATTGAGGGAAACAATGTATTAAAGTCAGAGACCTCACATATCAGCAAGTGCTATTACAAACACAAAAAGATATCAACCCCGTGACTCCTTTTGAGAGTACTCCTCACCCAAAATATGGCTTGACCTCTGAAAAACATGCTACGGGTTTTGCAAAGTTAGGCTTATCAAAAGAAATATTAATAATAAGCTCACTTTCTAAAATGCAGTCATTTGAAATTTCAAAACAGTCTTACTTCAATCATGCCATTTTCCTCATCTATCTACTGATTCCCCGTTGGATTTTCAGAGTTCATCTGGTTCCCAGCTTCCAATCAATCTGTCCTTCCCCCTCCCTTAACTACCGCAGCTGCCCCTTGTATTCTAGTCGAATCCATCTCCCAGCACCATTTTCCTTCCTCCCACGGCTGCCTCCACATCATTCTCCACCCCCGTGTCTGGAATAGCCTCCCACTTCCATCTGCCCTTATTCTCTCTCCACTGGATCTGATCTTTGCCTCACAAGCCCACCTCTCCCAGGAAGCCTGCCTTAATCAAAATTAAGATCTCCTCAAACCATGACAGATATAACATGACACATATGTCTACCATATTCCAAGTTTTCAGAACTGGAATTTTCTTTCAGGGATAAGACAGTTCTTTTATAACCAGCTAGCATGGTGGTAGTGGTGGTGGTGGTAAAGCATTTTTCTAAAAGAAATGACAGCAAAGAAAGAGAATATCTCCATAAGTCATCCTTTTTAAAGAATCAGTGTTCCACTGCAGACTCAGCTCCTAAGGATGTCCTTTTCATTTCTGATCCTCTTGATGAAGTCTATTAGCTGGCTGCATGCATATTTACACCAGTCAAAAGTCTAAGCAGATGCTTCCAACAAGGCATACGGTATCTTAGATGTCTGAACGTTGAAGGAATTACAGAATCAGTGACTGGATGTGATTTGTGCAGATTCTGAAGAAGTTATTTCTAGACACAACTTTGCTTCTAACAGAAATGGAATAACCATGACTAGGAGTTTGGCTTATTCACTGCAGAAAGGTTTGGGGACCAAGTTTCAGATGTGGTGGGGCTACTCACCCTCTTATCGAGGAGTCCCATACATGAAGCTGCTCTACATCTATTTTAAAAGCAGCTTTTATTGCAGTCTAGCCTTTCACCACTGAGAAATTAGTGTTGAGGTCTCAATCCAAGTAAAACTGAGGTTAGTTTCGTCATCTCCATCCTTAAGGGCTTGGTATCCTGGGAAACCCAGAGTAAGAGCAGGGTGAGTCCAGGACACACATGTTAGCAAAAACAGAGCAGCATGATGGGGCGGGCATCCAACACCCTAAATGTGCCTTAGTTACCAGAATATTTGACACACCCACAAATTAAATAGCAAAACATTTTAATCCATTAATTCTAAAAATAATAGAGACATTTTATATCCGGTACCACCTCCTCAAAAGTCTACTGCAAAAGAGACAGCCAGACTCCAAAGTAAAGAGCCAGAAAACTGAAGCAGCAGTTTGGGACAAGACCATCATGGGGAGATTTTTCTCCCCTTTCCTCACAAACATATGCAGTCAGCTTAGAAGATCCTTACAAGGAAAGGGAAAGCATTCTCAAGCTCTAGAACTTCTACTGTCTTTTTAAGAGAGATTTTTTGCTATAGGGTATGTGCACTTGCCAGACAGAGAGACAGAAAGTGAGAAATCACCCCCCAAGGGGATGGCCGTGGCACAATCCCTTCTCCTCCATTCTCCTCTTGGGATTCTGGGCACACATGCACACAACCAGTGTGAGTTTTAAGCCGCTGGGTCCAGGAGTCAAACCTCAGTCAAATACATGGGAGTCCAGTGACATAACCAGCCATCTGCTGGTCCCAGAACTTCCCTCTTTATTTTAAATCTGTCTGCAATGTTTGAAGACAAAACAGATAACCAGCAAACTAACCCCTCAAGCAGAAGGATGTGAGCTGGCCTCCTGAGACTAAAGACTGTGGTTCAGGTCTACTTCTACCACCACTGTGCTGTGAGGTACTACGGTTCTTGTTTTAGTTACAGAGGTGTCAGGACGAATGCCCACTCACGTTTAATAATAGCACACAGCATCACAGCACAACAGCAACACCAGGAGTGTTTAGAACAGGGTGGAGAAGAAAGGAGACGTTATCACAACTTCAGGTTTCCTCTGCCCTGCCCCTCCTTCTACAGTGAGATTTCAGCTCTAAAACAAAACTCTCCGGAATGCCCCTACTGTCCTTTGGCCCACCACATTCCAAACTTCTGACTTCCAATCCCAAGCCCTTAGAGCCTCAGGCTTTAGTGATGTATCCTTCTCGGATGAGGAAATCGTAGATTTTCCGGGTCTTGTTCACATCTATCTTGATGAGCGCTCTTGCCTGCGCCAGCCTTAAGCCTCCTTGCTTGTTACACTCGTTCAGTAGAGCAGATTTGTATTCTAAATAGGCTCCAGGGACCAACCTCACCATCTGACAGAGCTGCAAGACACGGCAGATTTAATAAACGTTAACCATCTGTCATTCTTGTAATTCAATTCAGCAGGTATAGCAAAAAATTTTTTAAAAGTGACATCAACCTCCAACTATTTATAGAAGCTATTGGGTGGCTGGACCACATTCCATTTAGTTTCTTCTTCTCTGGAAAGAACACTCCCTATGGACAGACACCCTGGAAGAGAAAGCCGGGGTGTGATGTCGGGAAAGCCTTTGGCATGAGCAGGCCGACTCAGAGGCCTGGTTTGTTAGGCAATACGAGCACGTGCTTCTGAGGAGCTGCCTGGCCCACCCAAGAGTCAAGCACTGAATGACCGGGTAGAAGCCCAACACCATTCCAACAGTCACTCCTGGAAAAGCCATGGGGCACAGTGGGGTAGGGACAGATGTGGGTGGTGTGCAGATACTAGGATTCCCAAATGTGAATCAAATTATTTTTGTATCGACATAAGACAGTCACTGCTTTTGTGACTGTACCTACTTCAGAGGGAAAAGAGAAATAAAGACCTTGGAAAGAAAATGCCACTTTGTGGCCAGCAGGTGGTATGGTGGTAAAGGGCACTGGACTCCCACACGGTCGACCGTGGTTTGAGTCCCAAACCTGGTGGCTTGCTTTCTCACTTTCTCTCTCTTTTTCTCTCTTTCTCACTCTGTCCCTCTCTGGCAAGTTAAAATGAAATAAAGTTAAATATAAAATAATTCTTAAAAAAAGAAAGGCCACTTTAACTGCTGAAAATCTAGAAAGTTGGCACAATTTCAACTCACCTGCCATTATCCAGCTATGAGCAATCTGAGGTCACCATTACATGAGTAAGGATAAAATATGCTTGAAATTCCAGGCATTCAATATTTGACTCAGATTGGCCTGTGGTCTTCTTCAGCAACATATACATACAACATATACTTCCTTCTGCTTCCAAACTAATCTCTACTATTCTTGGTGGATAAAATACCAAATTACTTCAAAAGGCTCATGGGAAAATGGAATTAAAGTATTAATTTATTTTGCTGCAAAAATCTTGAAATCCATGCATTTTCAAAAACATATTCTTTCTTTTTTCATAATACTCATTTTCCATTCATTTAATTTTCTTTAATCTACTTCCACTAGATCCAGTTACAACCAGATGCCCTTTCTCCAGGCCCCCAGCCTGCCAGATCCTGGGCACTCATGCCTGTGCCTCATTTCAGCCCATCCAGGCTGGGGGTTCTAAACGCAATCACCATGCGGGATCCAGCTTCTTCCGAGCAGCATGTAACCTCTGCACCATGGAGTCAGCCCTTCCACAAGCTTTCTGAAGACCCCTTATGAGACTAACACTAGCTCCTACACTATGACTTCCTTACTGTCTGACCTGAACTAATAAGAAGTGGCAAATGGGGAAACTGACCTTGGGAATTATAAAAGGAGCATATGAGCAAAAAAGGAATTCCTCTTTTGGAATAGACTTTAGGATTGTAACACATTTTTTTTTTTTCTTTCTTTTTTTTTCTATAGGGCACGTGTGCTTGCTAGAGAGAGAGAGAGAGAGAGAGAGACAAAGACAGAAAGCGAGAAATCACCCTCCCCGGGGGGGGATGGTCATGCCTCAATCCCTTCTCCTCCAATCTCCTCTTGGGATCTTGGGCACAAACGCACATCCGCCTGGAGTGAGTTTAAGTCACTGGGTTCGGGACTTGAACCATGGTCAATTACATGGGAGTCCAGCAACATAGCCATTATACCAACTGTTGGTCCCTGTAACACACTGTTTTGAAAACATTAGTTGATGACTCTTATGAGGCTGTAACAGCCAAAGACCATGTGAAGACAAGTCTAATGATTGCAATGGGAAAGAAAATAAGTCATGGCATATTTTAACCATAACTAACATATAACTCTGAATGATGCTGAATTCCATTCTTTTTTAATTTGCCACAGAGTGAATGTGCTTACCAGAGAGAAACAGAGAGAAGTAGAGAGGGAAAGTGAGAAAGCAGCACCCACCCCCTCAGGGGGGATGGCCACAACATAATCCCTTCTCCTCCTTTTTCTTCAAGGGACTTTGGGCATGCACACACACACATATGTGGAATGTTTTTCAAACTGCCAGGTCTGGGACTCAGCCTGCACAGTCGGCCAGTGGGATCCAGCCACCTTAACCAACACAACATGGGCTGGCCCCAAATTCCATTTTTTATGGTTATGAACTTGCTTTGAAGATAACTCCAAAAAATGCTGTCAGTGTTGGCTATATTGCTGGAATAAGTATAGGACTTTACAAAGTGACCATTCTGATAGAAACTATTTTTATCTGAAACTTATTTTAGGTTTACAAAAAAACCAAACTTTACATAAAGTACTTTGTAGTATCTAGCACATGAACAAGGGACAGTTGCTGCGGTTAACGTATTTACTCATCACATGTGCCTTCCCAAAAAAAGGAACATGGCAGGGTGACCAGGAGAGGGCTGCAATCTGTGGAGGTTGGCACTTCAGCTCCTGGACTTCCAGGACAGACAGCTGTGCGTGTATGTTAGGTGAGTGGAGCAAGACGGGTCTGATCCTGTGATGGGTTTCTAATGACAGCTCAATGAATAACCAGCCACTGAATTTTCTCTCTTCTACCCCGTTCCCTTTTTGTTACCTCCTTTTCTTTTTCATTCAGCTTCTCTGTGCCAGGAAGGCCAGTGAGGTTCAAGGGTGGTGCACTCCGTCTACCTAGACAGAGACAGAAAAGGGCAGGATTTCACAGGAGTGGCAACTCCTCACGTGTAAAGCCTAACAGTCAGTGCAGCCACGCCAGCTAAGTACAGGGTCTCTATATCCAGCTGTAGAACATCTTAACCCATCCCCACAGGCCTGTTTAGCTAGCAACACAGGCAGCCCAATGTTCACCTGAAAATAAAAATAGTAATACGTGTCCTAAAATCTGTTAAAATATACATACAACGACACAGATTTCAGTATCAAATATAACTGCTCACCACAGCACTTATCATCTGTTTCTTCCCAACCACATTGGAGACTAAAATTTGAAGCCCAGATATTATCCAGTTAAGAAAGGTCATACGCTGCCTGCCTTGACAGTTGACGAATGGAAATAACAACTCTGCAGGAGACATTCCCTAATCCTCACCACTCTGCCAGCAGTACAAAGCAAACACAGTAATTAACCAAGTACCTTGTGCATACAGATCAAAGGTAGACTGTTAGGGCAGCAAAAGGCCTTTCTTATTTATTATATGAGGGAATATCTGCTCCTTCCAAAGTAGCCCTGTTTACCTGAAAGATCCACACACAGGAACAATGAGCCATTATATGGCAAAGCAGGGGCTGAGGTCAACTAACATACCTGAGAAAGAAACCCAAGTAGGAAGTCACTAGCCAGGATGAAAAGCCTAATGTGCACAATGCTTTTTTTTTTTTTTTTTTTTTTGCTTTGTTTTGAGTGTACATTTGAGATTTGTGTTCAGCTGGGGATGGATGGGCTGAATAAGCAAAAAAAAAAAGGAGAGGCTGCTTTGCAGACGCTGCCGCCTGAGTCTCTCGCCCTCAACCATGGTCAACCCCACTGTGTTCTTTGACATTGCTGTTGACGGTGAGCCCTTGGGCCGCGTCTCCTTCAAGCTGTTTGCAAAGTTCTAAAGACAGCAGAAAACTTTCCTGCTTTGAGCTCTGGAGAGAAAAGATTTGGTTATAAGGGTTTCTGCTTTCACAGATTATTCCAGGGTGGCGACTTCCCACACCATAATAGTACTGGTGGCAAGTCCACCTATGGTGAGAAATTCAAGGATGAGAACTTCATCCTGAAACATACCGGTCCTGGCATCTTGTCCATGGCAAATGCTGGACCCAACACAAACGGGTCTCAGTTTTTCAGCTGCACTGCCAAGACAGAGTGGTTGGATGACAAGCATGTGGTCTTTGGCAAGGTGAAAGAGGGCATGAATATCATGGAAGCCATGGAGTGCTTTGGGTCCAAGAATGGCAGGGCCAGCAAGAAGTTTGCCATTGCTGACTGTGGACGACCTGCTTTCTCTTAACCAGCAGACCATTCCTTCTGCAGCTCAGGAGAGCACCCTCCACCCAGTCTGCTCGCTATGTCCTGTAACCTGTGTTCTCGCTATAGTTCTTTGGGTTCCATATTTTCCTTAGTCTCCTCCAATTCTAGCTGAATTACAAAGTTAAGTTTATGATTATGAAATAATAACTAAGTAACCAAAATTAAAAAAAAGACAGAATAATAAGTGTTATGGGGACTGATTTTTTTTTTTTTTTTTGGAGAGATTTTTGCTATAGGGCATGTGTACTCACCAGAAAGACAGAGAGAAAGAAAGCGAGAAATCACCCCCCAGGGTGATGGCCATGCTGCAATTCCTTCTCTTCCATTCTCCTCTTGGGCACGCAGACACATGCACCTAGAGTGAGTTTAAGCCACCGGGTCCGGGACTCGAACTGCAGTCGACTACATGGGAGTCCAGCAACATAGCCATTACGCCAACTGCTGGTCCCATGGGGACTGATTTTTTTAGGTGGTGTAGATAAAGGTGAGGGACTAGTACAAGCTGTTCTGTTAGAAAACAGTCTTCTCTGTCATATCAACAAAAGGGGTAACGGCTTATCCCAAATGCTCAAAAAGGGAAATAAAATAATCTGGTGCCTCACGGAAGTCACCAGAGGCTGGGCTACAAGGGATAATGACAGATTTATGGGACCAGCAGTTGGCACACACCGGGCGTGTGTGCCCAAGATCCCAAGAGAGAATGGAGGAGAAGGGATTGCAGTGTGGCCAACCCCCTGGGTGGTGATTTCTCACTTTCTGTCTCTCTGTCTCTCTCTTTCTGGTGAGCACAAGAGCCCTATAGCAACAATCTTTCCAAAAAAAAAAAAAAGTTTTCCAATATTTCCTTGCCTTAAAAGTAACTGAGAGCACAGAGAAGGGTAAGAGAGAGTGTCCAACTAATAAGGGGTGAGGAAAGCTAACACTAGCCTAAGGAAAAACTACGAATAAGTGAATATAGATGGCTCAGTAAACAGAAATGTTAAAGTTACACGATCTTGTTAGTCAATTCATCCATTTTAAAATTTTATTTCTCTTTTTAATTGTCAGTATGTGCACTCACCACAGAGAGAGCACCCGTTGATGGGGGCATGGTTCCTTTTTCTCCATCTCCCTCTCTCCATTTCTACACCCATGCACCCAGCATATTTCCTCAAGCCACCAGGGCCAGGATTCAAACCATGGTCTGAACTGCTACACTAAGGGGCCAGCCCCAGTTCATTTGTTTTAATTAGCCAGTATTCAGTTATCTGCATTTTTGTATTTAGATCAAGGAGGAAGGGTTTGAAGTAAAAAACTTCAAAATAAAACTAAATTTTACTGTCTTGGGGACTCCCTAAAACGCTCCCTTTCCTCCCTTAAGTAATAAAATATGATTACTTGAAATATAGGAATAAAAGAAAGGCCGCCCTGTAATCTGGACTTATGGGAACCAGATTCCACATGGCCAGAATGAATCCTGGCCCCAGCTGCTTGAAAAACACTCAAGGCATGTATACATGCATACTCCAAATTCCACCAGGACGGAGAAATGAGATGAAGGGATTGTGGTATGACCATGCCCTACTAAAGGGTACTCCCCTCTTTCTCTGGTGAGTGCAAGCACTCTCTGGCAATTAAAAAAAGAAAAGAATAAATGAAGACTACCATCCCTAAAGTGGCCTTATTTGAGCCTTATTGAGATCCTGAATCTACTGAGAGACTTTAAAGTTTGTTCCAAATCTCCAGAGAAGGGTAAAATGGCAAAAGGAACACTTTTTGACTACCCAGTCTTTAATCAGTGGTGTAGTCTGTACGTCCTGATTAGGAGAAAGATCTAATCTATCACGTGGAGCAGGGGTGAATGAAAACAGGCAAAGAAACACTATCATCTTGGTTTAAAGCTTTATAACTAATACGTCCCCAAATTACCTGTCACTGATGACCAATCACCAAGCATCCATCAGCTAGCATATGGCTTAATCTTGCTTTGTAAACTAATTTTATTTTATATTTTATATTCTTTTTTTTTTTTCGCTATAGGGTGCGTGCGCTCGCCAGACAGAGAGAGAGACATAGAGACAGAAAGCAGGAAATCGCCCCCCCAGGGGGGATGGTCACGCCACAATCCCTTCTCCTCCATTCTCCTCTCAGGATCTTGGGCATGCACGCACACGCGCCCAGCGTGAGTTTTAAGCCACCGGGTCAGGGACGCGAACCGTGGTCAACTATGTGGGAGTCCAGCGACATAGCCATTACACTAACTGCTGGTTCCCTGTAAACTAATTTTAAATAGGACATACCCAAAGAGGTAAAGTTAAGAATTAAACATATCTTGGGGCCAGTACGTGGCATGGTGGTTAAAGGTGCTGGATTCCCACACAGCTGACTGTGTTTGAGTCCTGGAGCCTGGTGGTTTGCTTTCTTGCTTTCCCTTTCTCTCTCTCTGTCTCCCTCTGGTCAAATTTAAAAAATATTAGCATGGGAACCAGCAGTTAGCGTAATGGCTATGTCACTGGACTCCCACGTAGTCGACTGCGGTTCGAGTCCCGGACCCGGCGGCTTAAACTCACGCCGGGCGCGTGTGTGTGCGTGCCCAAGATCCCAAGAGGAGAATGGAGGGAAGGGATTGCGGCGTGGCCATCTCCCCTGGGGGATGATTTCTCGCTTTCTGTCTCTCTGTCTCTCTCTGTCTGTCTGGTGAGTGCACGCAACCTATAGCAAAAACCTCTCCAGAAAAAAGAAAAAAAAATAATATTAGCAAGTGGAATTAAATTAAAATGAAGAATTAAAAGTCTCTAACTTGAAATCCTTGAGTTTTGAGCAAGTTTTGCTCATATTGGATACAAAGCTTTTAATTTCTTTCTTGTGAGACAATCTCAAAATCCGTGGTAGCTATAACCATAGCCCACTGCCTACCTGTGAACACTGGGAAAATAAAGAAGCAACCTTTCTGGAGTTCTTTCTTTCCTGGTTCTCTGTGCTCTACTCTGAGAAAGTCCCTGTCTGGGCATTAAGATTCTGAATGTGCTACTGTCTATAAACTGGGCTAATACTTGATTACCATTACCCTACCTAAGCACCCTGCTCCCACAGAGGGAGGAAAATTTTGGGGTCATTATAACCCCTGGAATGCAAACTTCACAATCAATACTTGCTTGGCCTGAAAAATAATTACCTGAATTTGAAGCCATTGGAATGGAAGGACTGAGGCCAGAGTCACTACAACAATAAAGAAGAAGAATTTAAACTCAGGTTATATCAAACAAGGCAATTTTCAAAAGCCACTGTGGGACTGGGTGTTTGTTTATTAGGCAGATAACTTTGGCCAGCTCAGTTCAGAGAATGCTGTATATATTCCAGGATAGCTCACTGTACCGACCAGCAAAGAAAATCTGTTCTGAGGGGGTTAGAAAAACAATCCCTGGGACTTGTTAAGAAGAGCTCTTAACTTGGAACTCCAATGGAACCATTCATGGGGAAGAGACAGGAACATGATTCTTAAATAAAAATTGTACCAGTAGATATGCAGGGGGAGAGAAGGCACGGGTGGGAGGCTAGAAGGAATTCGTTATTTTTTTTAAAAATAAGATCACATACCCACAGAAAATTCTAGGAAGGAGGCTGGTTATGTCTCTTAAAACAGTACTGCACTGATTTTGAGATGGACTGCTAAAATCTTTTTGGATTTTTCTAGTTACCCAATTATTATTCCACTGCCATCTGGGGTGCCCACGGAAGTGTCCAAAACTACATGTGAAGGCTAAGGCATCCCACAGGGAGTGTTTCCTTCTCCTGGGACTAATCACACTCACTCACATGTCAGCTTGCCGGCGGAGCCACTGCTGGCAAGCACTACTGTCCTGGATGTACTGAAGAACTTCAGAAAGCATGGTGCGTTTAAGGCGCTCCTCGTCTCGTGTCTTCTTAAGGTGATCATAGGTCCTCGCACCTGGGAGTGTAGAGAACACCATGACTGTGCTGAGAGCGTAGCGGGACTTCCTAACTGTCCAGCCAATGGTTCCTCTAGTTTTGGTTTCCTCTGAAAAACTGCTTTCGTCATTATTTTTCCAAGAACAAAGTGAAATCCCCTAGTCTGAAATACCATTTTTTTACATTAAATACTTTTATTCCTTTTCTATCTTTAACACATTTCGGGAGGAAAAAAATCCCAGAGAAGTACAAAGAAAATAGAGTTGCTCATATTTCCACTCTCAAAAAGTAACTTTTGAGACCAGCAGATGGTATAATGGTTATGGCCCTGACTCCCACATGGTTTACCGAGGTTCGAGTGTCAGACCTGGAGGCTTGACACTCATGCTGGGTGCGTGTGCATATATGCCCAAATTCCCAAAAGGAGAATGGGAGAAAGAATTGCAGCATGGTCATTCCCCCCTGGGGGCTGACTTCTCACAATCTGTCTCTCCAGCAAGCACATGACTATTGTCATATTTGCTTGCTGTTCAATTTCCTTCTACTTATATATTTTTCAAAGTTAAACAAATGCTATAAGCATATGCCATTCCTTAAAAAACAATTAGACAGGGGCTGGCAGGTGGCATGGTGGTTAAGGCACTGGACTCCCACATGACTGACCACAGTCAAGTCCCAGATCTAGTGGCTTGCTTCCTCACTTTCTCTCTCTCTCTCTCTAGTGAGCAAATGTGCCCTGTAATAAATTTAAAATAATAATAATAAAGAAAACCCATTAGCAAAACCCTAAACAACAAGCACCAAAAAATTAGAATAATCAAAAAAAGGTCGAGGCCAGACAGTGATATGATGGTTAAGATGGTTGGATCCCAAGTGGCCAGCCATGCAGTTTGAGTCCCAGACCCCACAGTTTGTGAAACACACCAGGTACATGTGAATGTGTGCCATAAATCCCTGGGGAGAAATGAAGGAGAAGGAACTATGGTGTGACAATTACCCATGGGGAATGCTTTCTTACTTTCTTCATCTCTCTGGTGAATGTCTACTAGACACACTAGCAAATTAAAAAAAAAAAAAAAAGTGTTCTATGACCAGTATCTCCTCCATTTCTCAGAGGTAGCTAATATGAAGTAGCCGAAATTGGGCCATCAAAGTTTCCTTATGTGTCTTGCTAAATAGAAGAGTTGCGCAGTGTTTAGTACAATTACCCAAGGTATACAGATTCCAAAGTATTGCACCAGTGGGTTTCTGACTATGATCCACAGAGCCCCAGGAGACCATGAAAATATCTCAGGAGTTACTGTGAAGAGTGTGGGTACCACCAAATATGGGTGGTCCTACGTTCTACACATAACCTGAACCATCAGCATACAACTAAAGAAATCCCACTTCTATTACATTTGTAGATTAGGGATCCACCTAAAATTTCATTTCAAAACAATTTCTTGTATTAAAAATACAGAATCATTATACTAGGCTGAACTCACATATATAGGGCTATATAAAGAAACAGCAATTTCATATGGGTAGTGAGTGATGGCCTGTAACTATCAGAGAGACTTCAAGCGGGAAGGAATGAATGCTGAAGATCATTCCAGCAACAGCCGCAAAATAAGAGAAACCACCATTTACTGAGAAGTTGCCACGGGCCAGGTACCAGGCAACATGTGCACAGCCTACGTCTAATTTAATCTTCATACTAACTCAGAGAGACTTGGGAAATTGAAATTAGAACAGAATTACAGAGTTGATCAACAAGGGAGCTAGAATTTAAGCCCACATTGTGTAAGTCTAGATCCCAAGTCCTGAACTACTCTAATACGCCGCCTTTCAAGCTTATGACCTGGCTGTATTATTAACTAGCTCTTTGATTTCTTTAAGTCTTAGTTTTCTTCATTAAGTGGAAGTAACAGTACTTCATAAGTTTGTCATGAGAATTCAGTGACATGACCCAGGTGAAATATTTAGTACAGGGCCTGGTGCATGGTAAACATTTGATAAATGTTAGTTGCTATTAATATAATTACCACTAAGTAATGAATGCAATAAACCAGAGCCAGTTAAAGCTTAGTTAATAGAAAATATCAGACGACACATTGTTAAATTTAGAAAGACTGAGGCTAAAACTTAGGATATAAAATTCTCTCTTTTTAGGAGCCACATTGGAATTCTGAATCTAAAGCAGAACCTCTTTTCTTTATGTCATGACTCTTTTATTCTACCTCAGATAAGATGTATAATGATATTAATAGGAATTAGATAGATGAAACTTTATGGGAAAGACTGAAAACTTACTGTGAAAAAAAGAAAGCTTGTTTAAAAAAAAGCCCACATGACTCTGATACTTCCTCTATGGTCTAGAAGACACGCCTTCTGACATAATATATAGCTGATCATACTTACTACAAAAATTGGTAATGCCGGCTGTCCTGTATTCCTGGAGTCTCTTGATTTCCCTTCGGAGTTCAAATTCCACTGTTTCCCCCCAAAAAAGAACGAAGGAAAAAAATTGGAAAAGGAAAATCAACATCAAGAAGCATTTTTACTATCTAGCATTTTCAGTAATTCTGCCTTATGTAAAAGACTGGACAACTTTGTTTGGGGAATCTTGTCAGTAATTTTTCATTTTACTCAAGAGCTGAAAAAAACCTACTCTAGCTATCTTGCTATCTCCAGAGGCAGCAGCTAAAACTGTCTCTTAGAAAACTTGGAGTGAACTGGTTGAACTCCCTTGTCTACAAAAGTAATGAATATAATTTTTAAACAACCACATTTCCCTGCTTTACCTATTCTCTGTTAAGAGTTCAACCCACATGACCAAGTTCTTTTATGAAACCTGTCTCTGGCATTGTCTGATGTGGCCCTGATGCAAGGGAAGGACAAAAACTCTGTGCTCAAGCCCTAGTTTCTTTATAGCTTTTCTCCTATAGGGACAAAAGAGCACTGTGTTTCTATAAACTAAAGGCTCCTGCCTCCTCTGAGCACACAGATCAGGTTGCACTGCTTGGGTTATTATGTGATAGAATTTGGGTTCTTTTGAAACAGGATGAAGGAAGAATCTGGACAATCCATAGGGTGTAGCTCTTTGGAGTGACATATAAACCAAGAATGACACAAACTGGGACAGGAAGTAAGGCACCAGTCATACAGTATGAATCTCAGGAAGAAAGTCGACCAGACAACGTGTTTGGTGAGGATGGCCAACCGGAGTCAGGTAAATGCCTGCAATGCTACGTAGGAAATATTTGCAGGAGGAGGATAGGCTAAGGACCTTCCCAGAATTAAAATCCAGAGTCAAGTACATAAATCTCATGATAAAAGGCACAGAAGAAGCCACCTAGCTCAGATTGTTTTAAAGCCTAGCCCTTACTACCTTAATAACTTTACATTTTTATAGTGATAAATTAAATAGTATCTGGGTAGTGCTTGTTCAGGAATCCCAGAGAAACAGCAAGAGAATAATGGAAATACCATCTCCATGAGTCACCCAATTCTGTCCCCATTTTAAAAAGTTTTAATCCTGGGGCCTGGCAAGTAGCATGGTGGTTGATGGTGCTGGACTCCCACATGGCTGACTGTGGTTCAAGTCCCAGATCTGGTGGCTTGTGTTCTCATTCCGAACTCCCCCTGACCTGTCCTTCTCTCTTCAAATTTAAAGAAAGAAAAGGAAAGGGGGGGGGGTGAGGAGGGAAGGAGAGGTGAGGAAGGGAGAGAAGAGAAAAGAAATGCAAAGAAAGGAAAGGAAGGAAGTAAAAAAAAATTTTTTTTAATTTAATACGGAAATATTTATGAACAAAATATGATGTCTGAGACTTGCTTCAAAATAATCAAGTCAAAGGCAGGAGGGAAGGGGTATGTGTGGTAAAGAAAAACTAGAGTGCTGAAAATTACTGAAGCTAGGGAACAGACACATGGGAGTTCATTATATTATTACTTATACTTCTGCATGTATCTGAAAACTCCCATAATAAAATGTGAGGAGATGGGACCTACAGATGGTGTAATTGGATTCTCCACATGGTCAACCACAGTACCAGTGCCAAACCTGGTGGCTTAAAGCTCACACCAGGCATGTGTGTATGCATGCCCAAGATCCCAAGAGGAGAATGGAGGGGAAGGGACTGAGGAGTGGCCATCTCCCCTGGAGGGATATTTCTCACTCTCTGTCTCTGTCGAGCGCACGTGCCCTGTAGCAAAATATCTCTCCCTAAAATAAATAAATAAGTAAATGTGAGGAGAAAACCTATTAAAATACTGTTTTGTTCATTCAGGAGAAAATAAAGCTACTAGTTTTTTTTTTTAATTATTTTTTATTTGTGTTTATTCATTCTTTTTTTTTCTTTTTTAAATTTGACCAGAGAGAGAGAGAAGGGGGTGCGTGTGTGGGGGTTGGTGAGAAAGCAAGCCACCAGGTCTGGGACTTGTGAGAATGGCCATGTGAGAATGTCCAGTGGTTTAACCACTGTGCCATCTGCTGGCCCTGGCTTTTTAACCTCTCTTTTCCCATTCCCATAATCCCAATTATCTCATGGTAATAAAGGGGAATAAAGACAGAAATATTCATTTTTTTTATTTCCAGAACTTTATATAAATCATCATTCTCTCTCCTACTTATGTAAATACACACACACACACACACACACACATACACTTGCTCAAGACCCAAAAACTACCTACATGCATGGCTTTCAATAAACTTGTCATGTTCCACAGGCCCCACAATTCTTGCAAACCGCCTCATTGTTTCATAAAGGTCTTGGACCTCCTTGGGATACCGCCGTTCCATTACTACCGAGAAAGCAAAACAAAACCATGTCATGGAGGCTATAACAAGCCCTATGTTTTTTTTTTTCATGTGTGTATGTGTGTGTGGGTATTTTTTTGTCATAAGTGAAACAGGAGGACATTATTTCTAGCCTCTTATGACTAACTTACCCATGACAGGAAGCAAGCAGGAAAGCTAAGAATGCAAAACAGTAATCATAATGATAAGAGCATCACAACACTATCACCCAGGGATGTTATCACTGGAGGTAATATTCACTGAAAACTACTGACTTCCCACACAGCACTGTCTTCCAATCCGTACAGGGGTGGAACCACTGGCAGTAATGGGCAAGACAACTAAAAGCAGAACTTGCATTCTTAGAAACACTACCAAAATTTCTAGTATTAATTCTCGTAGGAAAATAAGGAAACTGCAGTCCTAATAATCCACTGAGAAGAGGTAGGTTAGCCAGGGAGAAGTGTGATCTTCTGCATTCCGTACCAGATACCTTCTTCCTACCTATACATCCTCAAATGAGGTATATAGGGCCAACCTGTAGTGTGGTCGGTAAGGCAGGTGTATCTCACATGGGTGACCATGTGATTTGAGTCCCAGGCCTGGCATGTTTTGTGCATGTGTGCCCAAAATCCCAAAAGGAGAGAGAGAGATGGAGAAGGGACTGTGGCATGACCATTCCCCAACAGCATGTTTTTTTTTTTTTTCCTCTCTTTCTCTGGAGAATTCACATGCCCTCTGGAAAATTAAAAAAAAAAAAAAAAGAAAAGAAAAGAAAAGAAAAGAATCTGTTAAAGAAATTAAAATGAGTTATGGATTTCTTCGTATGGTTCATTTTGCCTTTCTCCAAACTAAATTAGGTACTACAACTTAATTTACTACTAGTGAAGCTATATCTGACAATTATCAACTAGTAAATGGTCACATATGCTTGGGCCAGCAACAATGGGAGTCACTACCGACTAAATACCTAATCAAAAGAGGAATCTGCAGAGGGAATGATCCCACTGACCGTGACTGGCAGCTTGGGGTAGCTAAGAACTCCTAAACTTCATTTTGGTTATTTCAGTCAGATAATCAAGAGAACTAGGTTAATTCTAGCTTGGATTGAAGATACAGGCTTTCACATATGACAATTATTCAAACTAAGTGCTATTTTCAGATGAATCTTCTCCTTGCAAAAAGACTTTTTTTTTTTTGTAACACCAGAGAGTACATGTGCGTGCCAGGGAGACAGACAGAAGGAGACAGGGGAGGGAGAAAGTGACCACCCTGAGGCAGTCACACAGCAATCCCTGCTTCTCCAGTCTCCATCCTGTCAGGACGTACATGTGCCAGGTGTGTTTTTAAAGCCACATTGGCTGAAATTTAAATTGAGTGCTCAACCAAGTGGGATCCAGCTCTCTTAACCATTAGGCTACAGGACCAACCTGATGAAAGACATTTTTATCCACAAATTCCAGGAGCTAATTTGATGAGCATCTGCAGATTGATTATTTTCACTACAAAAACCCCCACCTTGAGCCTAGTCATGGTGGCACATACTAAGACGCCATGCTCCACAAGCTGGGACCATGTGGGAGGCCCCGGTTCATTCTTGGTCCAACCTGAAGGCTGAGTGTGGTGGTGTGCACCTATCAGGCCAACAAGTAAGTGAGGCTATGGCAGGAGGGCTGTGAGCTTCAGGTTTGCCTGGACAACACTTCCTGACTATCTGAAAAAAGAGTCAGGTGTGGTGGTATGCACCTGTAGTCTCAGTGAGGAAGCTGAGGCAGGAAGATTTTGACATGGCTAAATCTTTTTCTTTTTTTAAATTTTGTTATAGGGCACATGTACTCACAGGTGTGTGTGTGTGTGTATGTGTGTGCACGCAGGAATGAGATATTCACCCCCAGGAGGATGGCTATTCCACAATTCCTTCTCCTCCATTCTCCTCTGGAGATTTTGGGCACACATGCACATGCACCCAGCATGTTTTTCAACCTGCGGAGTCTGGAATTTGAACTGTGCATTTGGCTATGTGGGATCCAGTCACTCCAACCACCATGCCACTAGCTGGCCCTACACATAATTTTAAGCTTAACTCTATGAATCAGAATCACCTTAAAGTCTTCTAATTATTTATTTTAAAGTTGATTTAATTTTATTCAAAACAGTGCACACATGTACAAGAAGGAAAGGAAGAGAAAGAGAGAGTCACCACGATCCCCTTACCCCAGCCCTCTAGCTTACCAGGGTCTTGGACACCCATGCATGTGCCCAGCATGTTGCAGGTTAACCTGGGATCCCCACCTGTGGTTGGCCATGTGGTTTCCAGCACTGTAGTTCAGCATGGTACTGCCTATACGGTAAAGGCTGGGCCAAACTTTTTTTTAAATACAGATGCTCTAGGGACCAGCAGTTAGCGTAATGGCTATGTCGCTGGACTTCCACGTAGTTGACCGTGATTCGTGTCCCGGACCCGGTGGCTTAAAACTCACGCCAGGCGCGTGTGCGTGCGTGCCCAAGATCCAGAGAGGAGAATGGAGGAGAAGGGACTGCAGCGTGGTCATCCCCCTGGGGGCTGATTTCTCGCTTTCTATCTCTCTGTCTCTCTCTGTCTGGCAAGTGCACGTGCCCTATAGTAAAAACCTCTCCCCCCCAACAAAAAAGAAAAAAAAAATACAGATACTCTAGATCTAGTGCCAATAATTCTGACTTAGTCTGGACTGATGCCCAGACATCAGGTTGTTTTAAATTTTCCTATGTGGGGGTTGGCAAGTGGTATGGTGGTTAAAGGCGCTGGACTCCCACATGGCCAACCATGGTTCAAGTCTCAGACCTGGTGGCTGGCTTTCTCACTTCCTCTCTGTCTCTCTCTGATCAAACTGGAAAACAATAATGATGATAATAAAGTTAAATAAAATAATTCTTTTTTTTGGAGAGATTTTCACTGTAGGGCGCGTGCGCTCGCCAGACCGACAGAGAGAGACATAGAGACAGAAAGCGAGAAATCACCCCCCAGGGGGGATGGTCACGCCGCAATCCCTTCTCCTCCATTCTCCTCTCGGGATCTTGGGCACGCACGCACACGCGCCTGGCGTGAGTTTTAAGCCACTGGGTCCGGGATGCGAACCGCGGTCGACTACGTGGGCGTCCAGCGACATAGCCATTACGCTAACTGCTGGCTCCCAATAAAATAATTCTTCAAAAAAAATTTCCTAAGTGATTTTAATATGAAACTTGGATTAAAAACTACTACCATAAATGATCTGTTTAAAAGCTGGCATGGTGGTTAGATGTGCTGGATTCCCACATGGCTGACTGCAGTTCGAGTCCTAGATCTGGCAGCTTCCCCTCACCCCCTCTCTCTCCCTCTGTTCCTCTCTGGTCAAATTAAAATAAATCAATTAATAAATCAAGTTAAATAAAATAATTCTTAAAAAAAAAACTTATTCAGTAATACCGAAAGAAACCATAAAACAAAGGAAACTGCTAATACTTACACTGAAACTTTCTAAGGTTGATCAGTCCATGGTCTCTTATAATTCTAGAGTGAAAAACCATAATAATCTGTGTATTAGAATTAGTTTCACATTTAATAATGGCTTCCACATGCAGCTTTTATTAAACATGTTTAAATATTCTGAGGTGGAATGCTGAGGTCCCAAAAAGTCACTCCTCACAAAGTTCTGCAGGTTAATGAATCACTAACACAACTTTAGGCTCTTATGCATCACACAATGCTCTCCTTGGGCATAATAGATGCTTAGAAACTATTTGCTGAATGAATGAATCAGTAGCCACTAACAAAACTGAAAAACATGCGTCCCTTAAGATGAAACAGAAGGTAATTTGTGTCCACGTCATAAAAACAAATCTATTCAGCTTGTGGAAATGATAATTGAGAACAGCCATTTAAGGGAAACCTGAAAACCATGAGCACACATTCGACATGAACTCTGCTTTCACACAGCACTCTGACGCTATTTGAAACAAATGTGCAATGTACAAATTTAATAGAAGGGCATTACAAAACATGAGATCAAACAGCAACCTCAACAATTGAGTTCTGCAATACTCGTAGCTCTAATTGCATGGTTTAAGCAAAACAGAATTTAAATAAATCATGCAGGAGTCTGTGTCTGGAACCTTTGACTTATACCAGAAGTGTTCATGACTAGCAGTGATGCTTCTCTTAAGAGCATCTAGGTAAGGATCTTTAGCACCTCATGGGAGTTCACTTTAGATTACATCTTGTCCCTCAAGAGTGCCTCCCAAATCCTTCTTTTTTATTGCTCAGATACCAAGGTGCCTAGAGTTAATATCACAGGAACACGCCTACACATAAGTAAACATAAATGTACACTCACACCCTCTGTATACACTTCTTTGAATTGTTAAAAGTCTGTAATTTGACAGGAGGGAGTCTGGGACCGTAATTTCTAAGTCTGAATATAATAAATATATATATGTGTGTGTGTGTGTGTGTGTGTATATGGGGGGGCAAAGAGAAGGAATAACCTGGTGCCTGAAACTTGCTCAGAATTTGAGATCCTTTCCAATTTCTTATAAAGGAACAGTTAGAATAAGAACATTGCAAAAAGTTTAACACAGTAACACTTTATATTCATCATGGTCCTTTCTTCCAAAGAACTCCAAACAGTGTACCCACCTTGTTTATTAGTTATTGTAACATGAATAAAGAGTATGGAAGGAGGAAGTAAAACAAGACAGATTATTAACCCCATTTGATAGGTGGAAAAACTGAGGCCCCCAAAAGATAAATGTCTTCCCTAAGGTCACAAGATGAATCACAAATGAAACATACTTATGGATTATATGGAATCTGTAGTCCACAGCTGAAAGAAGACAGAATGGTTTTCTTTACTTACTTTTTTCGCCTTTGTCTTTCCTTTAACCTGGAATGATAGATATCTACAACAGCCATCTTCAGAGCTATAAATACATACATACACATATGTGACTAATATAAATTACAGCCAAGACAAAAATAAATTGTTTACCCAAATTCTCTTACTCTTTCAAACTCATATTCTTAACCATTCCATACTCACTAGTCTATGGAATTTGTCTATTGGAAACATAAGAATATGCTAGTATAATAAACTTCTCTATCAGTAAGTTACAATGAAGTTCTTTTTCTCTATTACATATTATTAGGCTGTTGGAAATCATGATGTACTTTTCTATGCAAAAATGTATCATGACTTTTTGAAAACCCAATATAAGACATTACGCTGTAGATTATAATTTCTGCTTTTTACTAAACACTTTTTTGGTGATACATGGGCTAGAATTTTATCTATTAGTTATAAAAATAAATAATGATGGTGGTCATGATGACAAAGAAGTAGGCACAAGAGACAATGTTACGGCTGGCAGGTGGTGTGGTAGTTAAGGCACTGAACTCCCATATGGTCAACTGCAGTTCAAGTCCCAGACCTGGCAACTGCAGTTCAAGTCCCAGATCTGGCAGCTTGCCAGCCCACCTCACCA